TAGAGGGCTTGCCTAGCATGTGGGAAGACCTGGGTTTCATCCCCAGTACCACAAAGAAAAAAAAAATCAAAGGCAGGTGCTGCCCTCATGGAGCTTGCTGCCTGGATGGGGAGGCAAATGAATGAATTAACACACAAATAAATATATAGTTGCAGTTTTGAGATGGGTGCCAGTGAAAGGACTGTGGTATTAGAAGAGTTTGTAAAGGGTAATGTGTTTTATCGGGAAGGGCATGGAGAGCTCTCGTGAGGAAGTGGTGTGTGAGCTGAAATCTGAAGGATGAAGAGTCTTTGACTGGGGGAGGTAACAGTGTCATTATCTTTTAAAGAGATCACTGTGGATCAAATGAGGACATTGGATGGGAGGAGCAAGTACTTGTATCCAGAAGCTTATGAGGGGGCTATAGAAATTTTTCAGATGATGGATGACAACTGCAGAAGTAGAAATGGCCCTCAAGGTGGGAAGAAGCATCTGGATTTGAAAATCATTTATGATGTACACAATAGGGGAGGCTCATTTAGGGACTGTACATGGGAGGTAAGGAGAGGGAGATTGCAGGCAGCACTTCTGGGTGTCTGTGAATTGAATAGATGATTGAAAGGAAGAGGAAGAGGTAGGTTTTATTTACTGTTTAGGTGTGTACATTGGGGAGAACAGTGAGGATCTGATTTTCACTTTGGACATTTTGGCTTTGAGGTGTTATTGAGACCTCTAATAAGAGATATTAAGCAGACCACTGGTTGTAAGAGTGAAAGCTCAGACAGGCAGCCTAGGCTGGAGATGCAATTTTTTTTTTCAGTGCTGAGGATGGAATCCAGAGCCTGGGTGTGTTAGGCAAGCACTCTGCCACTGAGTCACATTCTTAGCTAAGATGTCAATTTTCAAATTGTTTGTGCAGGTGGTACTTGAAAGTGTGGGACAGATGGGGTTGCCTAGATGGAGGTCATCAGGAAAAAAAAAAAGGAGGTAGGCTGAGAACACAGCTCAAGCTCAGGACCCTGGGTACCATCCAAAGCAGCGCAGAAAGGGACAGAATCACCCTGAAGAACGTCTACATCTAATAAAATAAGTAAAAGAGACAAACAGGACTGATTTGAGACATTGGAGAAAAAGGAAGAGAATATGATGTTACCTTAAAATACTGTTTGCTCGAGAAAAGAGTTCTCAGCTGTCCAGACTTATGAAGAAGGACCTGAGAACAGAAAAATACCAATTACCTTAGCAATGTGGAGCTCATCACCAAGGTCTGTGATTTATTGTTTTTGTTACAGGAGAAATGTTAAGGTCAGTGGAAAGTGATGAAGTGGAAACACTCTGAGTAAATAAATAAAGCTGAGGGAGTATTTTGGGAGGGTGGAGGAAATCAGAGCTCACTTGATAGTGTAAAGTTTTGGGAAAGCAAGAAAAGTCCCAGTAAAAGGCTTGTTTGAATGTGAAGAGGCATTCCGCTGTAGTAACTGGAGAGAGGAAAGGGACTGGGAAGACTGGAAACTTGGGTAGATTTGTGTGTTTGGTATGTGGCAATGATGGGATTGGCTTCTATTTTCTTTTTAAACAAAGAGAGTAACTTTCTTTGAGCATTAGTAGTAAGTGCCGCATGAGATGGCATATGGAGGCCCTTTGACACAGATGGTAGAAGAATTTAGCAAGATCAGAATAAGACAAAGACTAGCACTTAGATAAGAATACACTGTCAAGAGAGGCAGCGGGTGAGTTTCCAAGAAAAGAATGCAGAGTTTTGGAGAGAGAAATCCTACTGTCAATGGGAAAGGCTGGGGTTTTTGTATGGATTCAAGACTTGGGAAAGGGTCTGAGTTAGAAAATGTAGCTGTCTTAGACACGGGCATCCTATTCCTTATTAATCTTTTAACCTTTTAATCTTAGACACGGGCATCCTGTTCCTTATTAATCTTTATGAATACTCCCATTGTATCTAAAGTTGTACATCAAAGTTCCAAAACGGTAAGGTTATTTACTTTGGCCAGACAGAAGTCCCTTTCTGACTGGGAGAAAGATTAAACTTTATCTCATATTGTTTTGGTCAATGTTAGCACATTATCTTATGACTGCTTAGCACCTGCCAGGCAGGATTGTTTTAATAGGAAAATTTTGTTGCTAAAATTTTAATTCTTTTGTTGCCAATGGATAATCTCTACAATAAGGGACAATAAGGGTGCCTTGTAAACCAATTGATGTCTTACCTGTCCAACTCTTTCACAGAAAGGTATATATCTGTATCTATATCCATATCTATATCTATCTTCCTATCTCTATACTCTCAGCAATGGGAAAATAAATAATGTGAACTTAAATACTAGATTGAAGGGGATACCCAGGGCACCCAATGTTTTATTGACTACAAGCATGGGAAGGTAAGAAGAGTATGCTTGGAAGACATCTAGTGACACAGTGTGAACTGTCTGAAGCACCTGGCTGGAAACATCTGGCAATGGCTGGCATGCAGGCAGTGCTAGCTGATATGCAGGAAGGGCTAGCTGATATGCAAACAGGGATGCAAAGTGGGAAGCCACTGCTTGACTTGTTTGGAGAGATCAAAGGATGCTGAGACCAGGTTGCAAGTAACCAGAGTCTGCTAATACTGGGCAGAAATGTCTGCTACAGTCCTCCTGGGAAGAATGCAGCTACTGGACCCAGCACAGAGGCACCTGTACAACGAGGTGACTCTGGAAAACAACAAGAACTTGTTATCCGTGGGGTATCATTGTACTAAGCCTGATTTAATCTTCAAGTTGGAGCAAGGAGAAGAGCCATGGATAACAAATACCAAAATCTCCACTCTGCGCTGTGCAGGTAGGTTGGGGAGAACAGTACCAGAAAAATCAAGATAACTTGAAGATATTAAGATATGCATGTAATGTGTTTGGAAAACTTCATCTAAGCAAAACCCATGTTTCTTCAAGACAAAGACTTCATAAGAATAGTACACATGGGAAAAATATGGACCCAAACTCAGATTTAAGCAAAAATTGTATAAGATTCCTGATAAATTTCATGGTTATGAGGAGTCATATTTTCTTAAGCATCAAAAAGTTCATAGCATAGGAAAAACTATGTAATGAATGTGGCAAAGCTTTTCATTGTAAGTCACAGCTCATTGTACATCTCAGAATCTACACAGGGAGAAACCTTGTGAATCTACTAAACGTGAGAGAACCTTCAGTACTTGTCAGAGAGTTCACATAGGAGAAAAGCCCTATGTGTGGAGTGAATGTGGGAACGTCTTCTCTTTCAGGTCACAGCTCATCATCCACCAGGAAGTCCACACTGGAGGGAAACTTTATGGGTGCTGTGAGTGTGGGGCCTATAGCTGGAAATCTCATCTTATCTTACACCAAAGAAGTAACACGAGTGTGAATCCCAACAAATGCAGCAAATATGGGAAAGCCTTCCAATTTAAGTCCCTATTTGTTGTACATCAGAGAAGTCATACAGGAGTGAAACCATATAGGTACAATGAGTGTGGCGCGGCCTTTAGGAGCAAGTCCTACCTCTTGGTTCATGTCAGAATGCATACAGGAGAGAAACCCTATCAATGCAGTGGGAAAGCCTTCAACATGAAGACAAGGTCATTGTGCCTCGGGAAAGGAAACAATCCCTGTCAGTACAGCAAGTGTGGAAGTCTTTGGGAGGAAGGAGCAGCTCACTGCTCATCTGTGAGCCCACGCAGGAGAGAAGCTCTAGGGATGCAGTGAGTATGGGAAGGCCTTCAGCAGCAAGTCCTTCCTCACTATAATTATACACAGATGGTGCCAATGGGGGAGAAACCCCACGAGTGTGGCTTGTGTGAGGAAGCCTTCTGTGGGAAGTCACAGCTGATTACCTACCTGAGAACTCAATGGAGAAACCCAGTGAGAGCACTGAGTGTGAAAAGCTTATCCCAGAAAGGCATTTCTTCAGATTCATCAGAAAACTCACTCAGGAGAGAAGTCTTTTAAATTCAGAGAGTGTGGGAAAGCCTTTCCTCAGAAGTCCTCTCAGTGAACACCAGAGTCCACATGGGAGAGAAGTTACAGAAGTGCTCTTAGTGTGGTAAGTCCTACTTCTGGAATTCAGAGCTTCACATAAATGCATAGTAGGACATCTGAGTGAAAAAGTGAGTGTTAGAAGCTTTCTCCCAGAGGTTGATATCCTAGGGCCCTGGAGGCTAGTGCAGACAGAGTTACAGGTAGAAGGTCCTAAAGATAGACCCACACTCATAAGTCAAGTGGAGAGAGCAGTCATTTGGAATGGGCTTGTTATAGCTTTCAGCAGTAGACAAGAGGATGAAGGAATGAGGAGTACTAAATGTACCAATGTAGTATGCCATGGAGGTTTTGGAGCATTCATACTGAGGACACTTGTAGGTTTAATAAATCAGGGAAGCATTTTCCCATAGAAGGTGTGTTTCATGGAAAATCACATTCCAGATTTGTTTTTATAAAATAGTGTGAAGAAAAATCTCAGATAAGAGCAATAGGCTTTTCCATGGTGGTGTGTAGTCTTTTTGTTTTGTTTTAATATGTAAATAAAGTAAACAGAACCACAAGGAACTTATTCTGAAAGTTAAGAGATATTTTGTGTGACTTTCCCTAGTTCACACTGAATAAAAATTCTGGTATTTTATTTTTAATATACAGTAACTCATTACATATATACTTGATAGTTTACAGTATAATATCTCCCAGTATTCTCCAAATTAAATGCTAAATATAAAAAATACTAAATTGATTTTGATTTTAATGATTATGATGATAAATCTGATGCTACCCTGATGGCAAAGGAAAAGATAAACTTCAATCAGGTCCCAGTCTTCAGGAGCCTAACAAATGAGAAAAATGAGGATCGCAATTGGCGAGAATCACATTACAAAAAAGAAAACCATCAGCACTCTTCGTCTGCACCTGCTCTCTAAGGGTTAAGACCAACAAGAGCCGGCCATCACTATTTCCTAGACAGGCCCCAGCAAAGCCGGCGCGGGAAGATTACATACTTCCGGTCTCTGTCTTCCGGGTTTGGGAGTTCAGTACTCGGGGTTGGCGAGATCCGAGGTGGCGCGTCTTCTTGCTCCAGGTCCGCTGGGGTTGTTAAGGGTGCCGAGCTCCGTGTGTGCGGCCCCCAGAACAGCGAGTTCCTCCTGAGGGAGAAGGGAGCCGCGGGCTGCGGGTAACAAAGGTGAAAACCGCATGGCCCAGGCTGCGGGGTACGTCCGGAAGAGGGACCCGGCGCCTGGTGGGGCGAAGGCCCAGCTTGTCCCCAGCCGGCGCGGTGCCTACAGAAGCTTGCGGGCTGGGGATAAGCTTGGTCCTGGAGCTTCACCCGTAGTGCACCCCGTCGCTGAGCTTCAGGCAGTGCATTTTCTCCGGAGGGCTTTCTAGTTCAAAGCACGGCCCTGCCCTGTAGCGGTGAAAAGGGCCACGTCTGTAGAGACAGATCTTAAGGACAGACTTTTAGTACCGTTTGTGGCCTGAATTTGCTCCCATTTTGCAGAGTCATTGTTCTGAGGGCGCATTCACAGTCAAATTTAATAAATAGTATCTTAGGGAAAACAGTGGAACGGGAGTGTTATCCAACCCCTTTTTTTTTTGATAAATACTTTGATAGAAACATATTACTTAGCAAAACATGACTTTTTTTTTCCAATTCAGGTGCATTTTTCACTCAAACCCCGGGGATGTGTGAATTTGTACTATTTTCACTTTTATAACAAACCCCTAGTTGGCTAAGTGTGCTTACAGAATGCCAACCCATTGTGATATAAAGTTTGAGAGTGTCAGTCTGGTGGTAATGCAGTTAATAAAGGTGCTCTTTGAAGTCTGTTTGTACTTTGAGATTATGCCGAGTGCTGCTTCCTGTTTCTAGTTTACCATAATAGATGGTGTAAAAGTCAACCATCAACCCTGGAGTTCAATCCTGCTCACCATTTTGTGGTTGTGTAAACTTAAGAGTTTCTCAGTGCCCTTTTATCTCTAAGGCTATCTATAATGTTTTTACTGATAATCAGTAAAGATTGTTCACGTACATTAGGCTCTGAGAATTATATGAGAAATATGTACAAGCTTGCTACTTGACACATAGTAGACACTAGTAGGGTAAAAACTATGTTAGTTTTTGTTTTTTGTATGGATGCTATTGTATGTCCTTTCAGGCTTTTATTTTTGCTCAAGTTATGTTCTTTAATCCTGAAGTGAATGCCAAGTCTATATATAACTACCTTTCAGTGCTAGGTCAGAGTTTCTAGTTCTTTAAAGTAGGTCAAGGATTGTAGTAAAGTGTAGGCTAAAATGGATGTTGTGATCGGGATAGACATGAAGAGCAAGAAAGGAAGAAGTCCCTGATTTGAGCTTTTCTATTTAGGGGTTATTGGCATTATTAACAGTCCTGTTCTATCTTAATTTCCTGTTTCTGTTTATATACATATTTAACTTTCCTTTGAAATGGACTTCAAAGATTTCTTCTTGCTGTCAACAGTTGAGTTATTCCTTTGAAACTAAACAAAGTGCTTTCTCTTCTTTAGCTTCTTTTGCCTGAATATTGATTTCTTGAAAGTGTTTCTAAGGTATGAGTGGACAGTGAGTATTAGGTATACATTCTGTCTTTGAAGCTTGGTCCTTAGACCTTTCATGCGAAGAGAGTTATAGTGAATAGTAATATCAGTTATATAATTTAAGAATTATTTTCTTAGATAAGTCACATTATTTGCATATGGTATAGGATTTTTAGGCAAAGAACATGTTTCATATTTTCAGTATGTTTCATAGAATATTGTATGTATACAATTGTTAAATTGCAGTGGTTGTAGAGAAGGAATAAACTTTAACAAATGCCTCCAGACATGACCCCTGTTTCCTTCTACAGGATTTGGAATCCTAAACCTGACTGATCATTGTGATGGAGCAAGGACAAGAATTGTTGGTCTCAGGTTCTAAAGGCCTCATGAAGAGGGAGAGTTTGAAAAGCCCCTTTACAGGTGAGGGATCAAGAAGATGATCTGAATCCTCAGGGAATTTGTTGTAAGATGGGCTAGAAAGTATGGAGAAAAAACAGGATATTAGAATGAGGTAAACCTTAACTTGATTCTGTGCTGTCACAAGCTGTTAATTCAGCCTCAGTTTTCTCATCTAAGATTTTAAAAAATGAATAATAATGTCAACAAATATTTTATGCAAAGCTCCTGTTCTTAACAAATAGTGACTACTGTTGTTATCTCTGTATTTGCTTATATTATAGCTAAGCTGCTGTCTAGTTTTTCACTTAAGATGGTATCCTGTTCAGTTTTATCTCCAGTAAGATCCTCTTTTGCTTGTATGTCTTACAGGATAAAGTTTAGTACATTTGTTTTTAGATTGATGTCCTCCTTGGCAATTGCTAAAATGGTTCAAATACTTCAGATATTAATAACAGTTTTAATAAGGACAATAAATTTCTCCTGCTTGTAGTGAACACATACAGTAAACGAAGTGAAACTAGTTTTTAAAACTTTTATATAGAAGAATTCATGAGATTTTTACATTGTTACTCCCTCTCTTCCCCTCAATTTGGAATTTTCTTTTCTGGCAGAGATTAGGGAATATGTTTAGAGTGTTTGTTTATTCTTGCAGGAGATGAAAGTAAGAATAATTTGGGAACTGTTCAACACAATAATCCTAAGGCAGATAAGCTTAAAGACAGAGCTTCAAAATGGTCTAAAAGACATGGCCCACAAAATTCTAAGCACGAGGATACAAAAGAAATGCTGTTGACATTGTCCCAAGAAGATGAGATTTTGGCTCAGAATTCCTCTGAGAATGATGGCAAATCAGAGATTTGGGGAAATTCTACAGGGAAAGAGGAGGAGAAGGCCAATCATGGGGTAAGGGACCCAGGAGAACATGGCAATGTCTCTATCCAGCAGGGAGACAAACCCTACAAATGTTCCCAGTGTTGGAAAAGCTTCAGTAATAGTTCTCATTTGCGTACTCATCAGAGGACTCACTCAGGAGAAAAGCCTTATAAATGCTCTGAGTGTGGGAAATGCTTTTGTAACAGTTCACACCTGATTCAGCATCTGAGAACACACACTGGGGAGAAGCCTTATCAGTGTGGTGAATGTGAGAAAAGCTTCAGCAATACCTCCCATCTTATTATCCATGAGAGGACTCACACGGGAGAGAAACCCTATAAATGCCCTGACTGTGGGAAGAGTTTTAGTAGCAGTTCTCACCTTATTCAGCATCACAGGTCACATACAGGGGAAAAACCATACGAGTGTCCTGTCTGTGGAAAAGGCTTCAGCTATAGCTATGTTCTAATAGAACACCAGAGGACTCACACTGGAGAAAAACCTTATGAATGTCCAGACTGTGGGAGCAGTTTTAGTCAGAGTTCCAGCCTGATTCGCCACCAGCGGACACACACAGGTGAGAAGCCCTACAAATGTCTTGAATGTGGAAGAAGCTTTGGTTATAATTCTACTCTAATAAAGCATCGAAGAATCCATACAGGAGAAAAATCCTATCACTGTGCAGACTGTGGGAAGAATTTTAGTCGAAGTTCAAATCTTATAACACACCAGGAAATACACACAGGAGAGAAATGCTGTAGAGGTTCTGAAAATGAAGAAAGTTTGCATCAGAACTGCAGAGTGATAGAAGAGTACAGAGGAGAGAAGCCATATAAATGCTGTGAATGTGGGAAGAGTTTTGGCCTTAGCACCCATCTCATTAGACATCAGAGGACACATACAGGAGAAAAGCCTTACAGATGTTCTCTTTGCTGGAAGACTTTCAGTCAGAGTTCTGCTCTGGTGATTCACCGGAGGACCCACACAGGAGAGAAACCTTATAAATGTCCTGATTGTGGTGAGTGCTTCAGTCAAAGCTTTAACCTTAACAGGCACCAGAGGATCCACAAAGGAGAAAAACCTTTCAAATGTTCTGACTGTGAGAAATGCTACACAAGAAGTGCCTACCTCACTCAGCATCGGAAAATTCACATAGAAAAGTCTTTTGAGTCTCCTAAAGTGGTGGATTTTCCTCATGAACTGACTTGGAAAAGCTGTTCAGGGGAAATGGCCCACATCCCTTCACTTTCAGTCTCAAATCCACTTTCCTGAGTCCCTGAGCTTGCTGAGTTTTGTTTGGTTTTGTTTTCCCTTATTGGACCATAACAGTTAAGGTTCATCAAACATCTGTAATCATTGTTTCGTGTAAAAAGTCAACCTCTTGGGCCACCAGGTTATCAGATCTGTCCAGTGAGAGACACTGACAATAATGAAGATAAAGGAGAAATTTTTTTTTGAAACTTAGAAATAGCTTCAAAGGAAAATATAAAGAGTAACCCAGGGAATGAGCAAAAGGCCATGTGAGAACTTGAAGCTAGGAGTGCCAATGAGTTACCTTATTTTTTCTTACCTCATTTTTTCTTACCTCATTGAGTGAAGATCATTACTAGCTTCAAGTCTTTGCCCAGTGAAATAATCTTTTGAACAAATAATGTGATTTTGTGTTTGTTTTATTAAATCTTAGGAAAGATTCTTCTTTTTATAAATACATTTTTATTTGGTAAAAATTAAAGAACTGTACTGTCCATTATTGTAGCCTTTAGCCATATTTGGCTATTTAAACATATTAATAATTAACATTTAATGAAATTTAAAATACAGTTTCTTAGTTGCACCAGCCACCTACTAAGTACTCAGCCACATATGACTAGTGACTACTATATTGGATATCATCATAGAAAGTTCTTTCAAGAGCATCTTTTTCGGGTTTTTTTTGGTGCCAGGGATCGAACTCGGGACCTTGTGCTTGCGAGGCAAGCAGTGGCACCACTGAGCTAAATCCCTGGCCCTAGAGCATCATTCTTAACAGACTCACATTTCTGTTAAGAGTAGGAATGTGCTCTAGTGTTTTTGTTTTCCAAAAGAAATTGCAATTGAATAGAAATGAGATTGAGTTTTTATAGCACTAGGTCAAGAGATTGGGTATTTTAGCAATTGTATGTTATGTTAAACCAGTGGTGTTATCTAATAATGATCTCATTGTCTTGACCAAAGCCAGAATAGTAGGTAGGATCTTGCAATGGGTTCTTCCATTTTTTGACAAAATCTTTCCCTAAGTTTTCTGTCTAAGGCCTGGTCATATCAGGAACTGGGTTATTTTTCTAATAATTAACCCACTCACTCTGAGCCAGTGTTCAAGGACAGTTTGTTTTTGAACACCAGGATTCCTTAGCGTTAGGATTGGCAGTTTTCCTCTGCTTTTGATATCTTTGGTTTATGGATCTGTTGAGACCTCATCCTCTGTTCTGTGGGAAGGATGCTTTGGAAAGTGTTAGATATATCCTATTCTTCCTCTCCCATTTTTTCCTAGTGCAAAAGGTATATGTATAGGAATGTCAAGACTCTGAGTTGCCCAGGATTTCATCAGTATTGAAAAATATGTTTCCACCTTTGTATGTTATGGAGAATATGTGGAGATGGATATTAGGAATTGAGGGCCAGACAGGACCAATTGTGGCTGCTGTGAAGGCAGTAGTTGGTGGACAGTTGATTTGCATGAGTGTTATTTACTTCATGGTTGTGGTACACTTGATACTGGCGAGGCAGTTGTGTCTTTTTGTATTATTATATGATTTAAAAATAAAGCAAAACTAACAAAAGTATTCAAGAAGTAATTGGGGGTGATTTTCTGCTTTCAAAAAAGGGAATACATTTTTGGGCATCATTGGCTTTTATGCAGCTGTCACCCATATGTCTTTCTACTTTTCTGTATTATGTAGTAATTCCCAAGTTCTCCTAAATTACAATATCTCAGGGCAAGTTTTTTACAGTATTTTTTAAATCACAGACAGCTAAGTGTTCAGTTAATGTTTGATAATTTATTGGTTTGCTCTTGAGGCTGAGATTCGATTGCAAGGCAACAGCTATGGGATAGTGGTAAATCATCAGTGAAATAGTCTATAGCATGTAAATCACTGAGTCTCAGTTCCTATATCTGTAAAAGGAAGATAATACCTGCCTTCTGAGGCTGCTGTAAGGATTAAATAAATGTTTGTAAAGCTTCTAGCACAGTATTTAAAATATGAGGTTCTCAGCAGTAATGGTGTTAAGTGAAACAAATTTTAAAATGTTATCCACATGTTTTAAGCATAAAAATAGCAATACAGCTCCAAACTCATCCTACTTGGAGGTTGTTTGTGATCAATCTCAGTACAAGACTGTCGTGTGTTTTAAGGTTGTAGACTATCAAAAACAGTTTTATTTATTACACTTGTAAGAAGCTGTAACAATGGCAGGAGATATTACTGGATTTTTGTTGTTGTTGTTTGTGAAACAAAGGATTTGGTTTAAGACAGGAAGAGAAAAAATAGCAAGTGCAAATTTAAATGTATTTGCAGAAGAGATTAACAACAGGAATATATATGTCCTATCACCATCCACCTACGTTATGTTTTATAATCACTGACAATTATATAAAACCTATTTCACAAACCTTGACATATACAGGAATATAGATTTCACATTTTTATATAGATTAAGATAGGCTCTGTTAGCATTAATTTGGCTAGAATCCTTCTTTGGATAGAAAATGAAGAAAACAGAAAAGAGATTTGTTCCCTAATGATGAAAAAATAACATAGTCAAATTTAATTGTATTGATGCCTTTGCCTCAGTTTTATCAGTCAGCAAGTAGGTTCTTTGTTTAGCTTTATGGAGAAGTAAATATTCTGTGTTTTGTGTTTTTCTTGCTGACACAGAGGATTCAGTGGACCATGAATAAAGAAAGGATCCTTATTTGTAAATGATAGTTTTTTAGTTGCTTTTTAATTAAAAGGATGGCTTAAATGGGTTTTTTTTTTAAGTTAGGCAATTACAGAGTGGAGATGTGGGGCTAGACACTGATCTGTCCTTGAGAATTTTTAAAGGATTTTGGCATTCTGTTGTTCAAGTTAATGGCTCAAAATCTGTTCCAGTTAGAGCTTCTTTCATATACAGGCTTTACTGTAAGCCCAAATTAAGTATCCTTATTCTGAATAACCCGGCATCCTCATGAATCCTTGAAACTGCTTGCAGGAAGGACCTGAAGACTGGCAATGGTCTTTTTCTGGTCCATCTCCAGACTTTGTTGATATTGTTCTAATTTGATCCCCAAGGTGTAAATGACCTTTTTCTTGCAAATCTGTGTTAGTGGAAGATACCATATAACTGCACTTAGCAAAGTGGTTAAGAGGCCAGATGGTGTTTTCTAGGCAGAGTTCATGGGTCAGACTGCAGTTATCAAATCATCTACGTACTGTACCATCATTCCCTGGCTCAATTGTAGCATTCTAAGGTCTTTAGCCAGTGTTTCTCCCCAAATCATGGGCACTGCCCAGCAGTATTGGAGAGTGGGTTTTGATTGTAGGTGTGTCCATTCAAAGGCAAATAGCAACTATGATTCCCTTTTGAATAGAATGCAAAAGAAGGCATCTTTTAAATCTAATACAGTACTGCTTTGCATTCTGCAGGCAAAGCATTTCAAAGATTATAAAAATTAAGTGAGGTAGAGTGAATATCCTGGACAATTTCACTAATGGCATGCAGATCTGGAACAAAATGGTATTCCTCAGACTGAAACTTAGTGTTATTAGTATGTATTTGTAATACATAATGATTACATTGATAATGAGGAGTTGGTTCATGTACATAGCACATCTTAATTCTTTTTCCTTTTCCTTTCCCTCCCCTTCCCACCCTTTGAAACTTTTTAATTGGTAAGATGGGAGTATTATAAAATGACTGGAAAAGCTGAATTAATTTGCACTTTAGAAACTTGGAGCATCATTGGACAGGGTCCAAGAATTCTCCCAAAGAGGAAGATGGTCACCGCAACACAGCCCACCAAGTAGCTTCTTGACTCTTGTTGAAGAAAAGAATTTCAGGATGTGTCAGTGAGAGAGCTAAAATGGTTTATTAAGCAGAATAAATAAGAAACTAGAATGCAGCCCTTGAGAGAGGTGAACTGTGGACTGGGGCTAGGGATATTTATGTGGTTTCTCTAATGGCCAGCAACGTTGAACATTTTTTTTCATATATTTATTGGCCATTTGTACTTCTGCGAAGTGTCTATTCATTTGGTTGCACATTTTTTAATTGGGTCTTTTTGGGAAGGTCTAAGTTTTTTGAGTTTTTTATAAATTCTAGATGTTAGTCCTCTGTCCAAGGAATAGCTGGCAATTTTATTTTCCCATTCTGTAGGTTGTCTCTTTGCTATTGTTGGTTGTTTCTTTGCTGTGCAGAAACTCTGTAATTTGATATGATCCCATTTGTTGATTCTTGCTACTATCTCTTTTTTATATATATACAAGGTCTTGCTATATAGTTCAGGCTGGTCTTGAACTCTCTGTAGTTCAGGCTGGCCTTGAACTTGAAGCAGTCCTTCTGTCTCACTCTCCCAAGTGCTGAGATTATAGGCATGTGGCACCATGCCTGGTTCTTTCTACTATTTCTTGTGCCATTGGGGTTCTGTTCAGAAAGTTCTTGCAATACACTTATATGACAGTTTTATCTGTTTTATCTTCCAGCAGATTGTTTCTGTTTTAACATATAGATCTTTGATTCACTTTGATTATAGTTTAGTACATGATGAGACATATGGATGTAGATTCAATCTTTTCTGTGTGGATAGCCAATTTTCCCAGCATCATATATGAAAGAGTCTATCTTTCCTCCATTGTATATTTTGGCCCCTTTGTCAAAGATCAAATAATTGAATGTGCCTGGGGTTGTTTCTACTTTCTCTATTTGGTTCCATTGATCCATATGTCTGTTTTTGTGCCAGTACCATGCTGTTTTATTCACTGTCACTCTGGAGTGTAATTTCAAGTTTGAGATTGTGATGCTTCCTGCTTTGCTCTTGTTGACCAGGTTTGCTTTTGCTATTCTGGGTCTCATCTGGTTTCATATTAATTTTAGGATTGTTTTCTTTATGAAGAATGTTATCGGTTAGATTGGCATTTCATTAAGTCTATATATCAGATTTGGAAGTGTGGCCATTTTTACTATGTTGGTTCAGCCTATCTGAGAACAGGGAATATCTTTACATTTCCTGAAGTCCTCTTGGAGCTCCTTTTGCAGAGTACTGTAGTTTTTGTTGCAGAGGTCTAGGTTAATTCTTGTTTTTAATTTTTATTGATGCTATTGAGAATGGTATTGTTCCCCTAATTTTTTTCTTGGTGAGTTCATTATTGGTGTACAGGAACACTATTGATTTTTGTGTGTTGATTTTGTATCCTGGACATTGCTGAATTAGGTTAATAAGTCTTAGAAGTCTTGGTGGAATTTTTTTTGATCTTCTATGTAGAGAATCATGTCATCTGCAGATAATGATAATTTGACTTCTTCCTTCCCTACACATATTCCTTTTCTTTTTCTTGCCTAATTGCTCTGGCTACTGTTTCTAGGACTGTGTTGAGAAGGAGTGGTGACAGTGGGCATTGTTTTCTTTTTCCTGAGGGAAAGCTTTCAGATTTTCCCATTTAATATGTTGGCAGTATATTTTTCATAAATGGCTTTTATCAGATTGAGATAAGGTCCTTTTTTGCCTACTTCCTGTGGGGCTTTTATTATAAATCGTGTTGGATTTTTTCAAAGGCCTTTTCTGCCTCTTTTGAGATCGTCATATGATTTTTGTCATTGCTTCTGTTTATGTGATATATTACATTTATTGATTTGCGTATGTTGAATCATCCTTTCATCCCTGGGATGAAGCCTGCTTGCTCATGATGTATGATCTTTTTGGTGATTTGTTGCAATGTATTTACCAGTATCTTGCTGAGTTTTTTTTTTTGTATCTGTGATCATTAAAGAGATTTGGCCTGTAGTTCTCTTTGTTGGTCGAAGACTTTTCTGGTTTTGGAATCAGGGAAATGCTAGCTTCCAGGAATGAGTTTGGGCCTACTCATTCTGTTTCAGTTTCATTAAAGAGTTTGAGGAGTATTGGTGTTATGTCTTCCCTGAAGTTCTTTTGAATTTGGCAGTCAATCCATGAGGACCTGGAATTTTCTTAATTAGTAGGATTTTTATTACTGCTTCAATTTCATTTCCTGTTACTGGATTATTTGGAGTTTCTAAGTCTTCTTGATTCAGTTTTGGAATTCATATGGTGTAGGAATCTGTCCATTTCTTCTGAATTCTCCATGTTATTGGTATACAATTTTGCAAAATGGTTGCTAGTAAGTTTTTGGGTTTTGGCAATATCTGTTGTGATTTCACCTTTTTCATTTCTAATTGCATTTTTGGGTCTGGTCTTTGCTTTTGTTGGTAAGGTTGGCAAAGAGTTTGTCCATTTTGTGTTTTCTTTCAAAGAACCAACTCTTCAATCCATTGATTCTTTGTATTGTGTTTTTTAGTCTCAATTTCATTGATTTCTGTTATGATCTTTATAATTTTCTTCTTTTTACTAACTTTGGATTTGTATTGTTCCTGTTTTTCTAGGACCTTGAGATGCATCATTAGATTATTTATCTGGATTCACTCTGTTTTTGTGGTGTGGGCATTCCCAGCTATAAACTTCCCTCCTAAGACTACTTTCAATATGTCCCATAAGCTCTATTATACTGGCAGTATAATTTAATTATAGGAACTATATTATTCCTTGATTTCTTCTGTGACCTATTGATTA